GCAATCCATTGCCGGACACGGAAAAAAAAAAAAAAAAAAAAAAAAAAAAAAAAAAAGAAAGAAATTGAGGCATGGGAAGATATTATCTTATTTTTCTGGAATTTTTCTTTGCTTCCAAGGATGTAGAACCATTAGCAGAAAAGGATGACCTGAATAAATTTTAAAAGTTGAGATTTTCTGGGTCACCCAGTTGACTTAAAACTGGGTTAAAGTCCTACAGGTTCTGATTTATTTCTGGTTTGCTCTTGTTTTGGATATTGAACCCTTTTTGATCCCAACCCAAATAGGATGTAGGGTACTTAACATGACTCTCACCTTGGCTGCCAACTTTTGTCCCCTGCCCTCACGTGGTTGTCAGAAGTGCTATTCACCTCCATAGGCACCTTTTCTGGAATCTACAAATGCTCCTGGGATGAAAGTAGTTTTAAATGCTGGACTCACCAGCTTGAAATTTAGTCTTCTTCCAGATCTTGGCCTGGGAAATTCTTTACTACCTTATTAGGTCTCTAATATATTCAAGCAGATCTTTAAAAAAAAAAAATTGTCCCATGTTTTCTGTTTTTCTGTATGAGAGAATAGGTTCAGATTACCCAATTTTTCATTATCAGAAATGGAAGTCTCATTTTGCTTCTTTTCACTTTCTTATGGAGTATTCTCTAAAATTGTCAAAAAGCACTAAGCCTTCTAGCTCATAGAGAAGTTCAGGTAAACATGTCAAGAGCAGAATGTTAAAGTGCCATATTCATTATTCCAAACCATGAAAAAAGAAGGAAAGCTTCCAAACTCTTTTCATAAAGCTGACATATCATTGACTCTAAAGCTTGACAAAGGGTACATGCACACACATACCTGCACACACCCACGCAATTCCTGTGAACTTAAGTGATAACTATCACCTCCAGAAGAGCCATGTAGTCTTCCTGGTTTTAGGGCGCAATCCCCTTGAGTTTGGCATTTCATATTCTCCAGCTTAGAAGTAAAATTTAAGTGACATAACGCAATTCCTGTGAACTTAAGTGATAACTATCACCTCCAGAAGAGCCATGTAGTCTTCCTGGTTTTAGGGCACAATCCCCTTGAGTTTGGCATTTCATATTCTCCAGCTTAGAAGTAAAATTTAAGTGACATAATATAAGGCATTTATTTAAGGAGATGAACTGGATTACAAGTTGTGGTTGGGAGAAAGGATTGCCAAGAGTTGAGCAAAGCCTCTGTCAGAACTCTGAGGGGGAGGAGGATGTGTAGAAGTTGAGGATACCAGACTTGGGTTGGATCCACCTCTTATTGATCCACCTCTTACTACCTTATATTTATAAAATGGAAAAATAAATGCTCCTGAGCTGGTTGAAGATTCAGTGAAAGAATGTTTACAAAGAGCCTGAGCTAAACAAATATTAGTTTTTCCTCTCCCTGGCCATTTGTTAAAATTATAAGATTAATTGCAGTTTCCAGGTGCCCTGAGGGACTAAGTCTATAGCAATGTGGGGATGGATGTGTGTGTTGCAAGTGTGGAGGTAACTTTCTACAAAGTTGCACGAAGGCTGTGCCTATCTGTGAGGAAACAGTTAAGTGACAGTGGACAAGACAGATTCTGCCGAGAGATCTTACAGAGCAGGGAGGGCTGCTCGTTTCTTAGTAAGGAAGGAAGAAGATCTTTGACTAATGCTCAGTTACATTTCAGGCTCATAGGAGAAAAGACTGGAAATGTTGCAAGAGGAATAAACATCGCCATTGTCAACTGTAAGTTATTAAATGTTTTCTTTAACACTTCTCTAAAAGCCCTTTGATTGGATTTTCAAAGATACCTCTGGTTTTCTAGATTTTTGCACATGATCCAGTCTAGGTTTATGTTTTCATGCATTTTAAAATTATACATTTAATTATTTTTACAAGTTTCATTTTATAGATTACTTGTGGTTCCAACAAAAACTTAAAACCAAACATAAATCAACTTTACCAAAAAACAAAGAAGGACAGGCAGAAGGCAGAGTTAAAGCCAGATAAGCTGGCCAAGGGGGCACAGACCTGTGGTCCTGGATTGAGCCTTATGTCTGCTGTGCAATTCCTGGGGTCTGACCAGAGGGTGACACCACCAGCCAGTTCCACCTCTGTGTGATAAAGGGCCCCTAGAGCCTTAGGAAGAAGAAAACGTAGCCTTCTCTCAGGTCTGGAGAAAACATTCTGTCACAGTTGCCATCAAGGTCCCTGATAAGAAGATCCATAGCAGATCTGGGGACAGAGTGTCATATGGTGTCCCTATGAATGAGCAGAGAGCATAGTCCAGTGACAGGAGATCTGTAGGGGCCAGAGACAAAACACTCCCAGTCTGATAATCCCAGGGAAAACCTGAAGTGTGAGGTAGAAAGGGCTGAGGCGGGGGCCCTGGGGTGTCTGTGAGTAAAGGGGGTGGGCCTGGGCTGAGGCAGGGGCTCTGATGTGTCTGTGGGAAGAGAGGTTGGAGGAGGAGGAGCCTTAGATGAAATCTCACAAAGCGGACAGGAGGGAAGTTCTAGGGCAGCCACCAGCACTGTCCTTTTGCCCCTGTACTGGGGACACTCCAGGAAAGCAGCCCCGTCTTCAGGCTGTGTCACAACATGAGTCATGTTTTCTGTGGAGACAGAGAAGAAAGACGTCATTTCAATCTGGACTCTGATGCCACAAACGCACCCTGGGTTTTATGAACTTTTTTTAAAAAACAACTTCTTTTCTTTTCAGATGTAACTGGAAAGGTAATAGCTACACAGTATTTTGATATGTATGAAGGCGGTAAGAAAACTCTTCTTTTATTAAAATTAAAATGAATTTTAAACATAAAGTTAATATTAAAAAGAACACAGAAATGTCAACCATGCTTATTCTATCTACTAAAAAAAACTTCAGCAGGTCACGTTAGTTTTCTAGAATGGTCTTACATATTTTCTCTTAGGCTCTGAGTTCGTATAATGAAGTTTGAGGGCATCATCTAGAAATATCTTTTGTCTGCTTGTTCTTTTCCTCAGTGTTTCTCATTTGTGCCTTCATGAGATAAGGAGAAAGAGGAAAAGTCTCTTTTCTAATGAAATATAAAATATTGTAGTGAGCATTCAGCCGTGGATCTCATCAGCTAAAGCCGTCCTCAGGACTGCTGGTGAGTGCAGGGGCCTGCTGGGCCTGGGCAGAGGTGCTCCCGGGAGCGCGGGCGCCCTTCTCCTGCAGTGCACTCTCCATTCTAGGCACTGAGTCTTGGCCACAGTGAATGGTCAGGATATACCAGCCCCTCTTATTTTTATTTAACACTGAGAGTTATTGGAAACGAGTCTCTATAAAGATAATGGGAAGAGTAATAGAAAATGCCTACATCCACCTGATGTGAGCTATGCCTGTTGACTCTGCAGTTAACTGTAAACAGTAAGCCACAGCGGTAAATACTGGGGTTTGAGATTAGCCTGCATTTTCTTCCTGTAGATAGGTCTCTTAGCAAAGACTCACCATGTCTGGCTGGTCTGTGCTCCTCGTGTTTAAGTTCTGTGGTGTCTCTGTTCCGCACATGTCAGTGGGGTCACAGGGCTGCTCTGCGCTGCGCTGGTCACTCTTCGTCAGTGACTGCAGGGAACGCACCATCTGTGCTGCAGAAGCTGCTGCTGGTTGCAAGTCTGGTGAATCGAAGACTCTTCGTGATCTAATTTCTGAGGAGGTTCTTTCCACCGGGAGCTCCACTTGCCTTGCTAATTAGCCAAAGAAAGCTCCTTATAGTGACCCCTTTTCACTGTAACCTGAACACCTATTGTACATTCTCTGCTCAACTCTTTTCCTTCTGTGCTGCTCACTTCGGGCGGTCGCCCATGGAACCCTAGTAATCATTTTTGAGCAAAGGGCTAGGGCACCATCTGTGTGGTTGAGGGATGAGCTGGAGGGTCCAGGGACTCAAAGTGGACACAGAAGCGGTGGCAAGTTCAGCGTCCAGGGCAGGAGCCACAGTTAGCAGAGAAGATCCTAAAGCTGACTGCGTTGACCCCACAGATAACTCTGGACCAATGACAAAGTTTATTCAGAGTGCTCCTCCGAAATCCCTGCTCTTCATGGTGACCCACGATGATGGAAGCAGCAGGTGAGTGTGTATAGATTTGTCACCGAGGTGGGCGAGAGAAGCCAGCCGGGGTAGAGAGTGCCAGCATCCCTCAGTAACATCCTCCAGGGAAGAACAAAAAGTCCAAGGAGCAGTATGCTTCTTTAAGAAGAAAGGATGAAGATCATGACAAAACAGACTGCTTTTCTGGGGGGAAAAAAAAATCACTAACCAGTGGGGCACATATCTGCTAGAAGCAAAGAGGTACTTCCAGGGAGGAAGATGAAGCCACAGCTGATCATAATTAGCACAGAAAAACTAGCTGTCGGCTGCCGGAAAAGCTAAACCCAGGGTGGGACTTACAGAAATACGACGGGAAATTGAGGTAATTTCTCTGTATGAGAAGCAAAAGAAGAATCAGGAAACACACACAGGTGCAGTACTTTACCAGGGGAAGTTGCATTAGCTCAGTGCTTCTCAAAGTGTGATCCACCCAGTAAACACCTGTCTTTACTGCTGAATTTCTAAGAACCTTCAAGGTGCTTGTTTGCATTGTGAATTTCCAGGGTGGGGCTGTTGACCATAGCACTGCCCAGATTTGTCTGACGTCAGGTTCTTTTTTGCATGGAGCATTTTACCAGTTCTAAGTTCCTTGGAACACACTGAAAAACAGATTTGACCCATTTAGGAGAATGTAAACTTTTTTTGTTTTCCTTTCTGCTCTCCTTCCTTTGCTTACTCTAAATTGTACCATTTTACAATGGTAGTATTGTTTAAAAACCTTTTTCCTTTTTTGATGCTTACTTTCCAGAACATGAAAAGGGACATTTTTGACATTTGCTGTCATCTTTCAGCAACTTCTGTCCACCTCATTTTGCGATCAGTAAACAAAAGGGGCAGCCAGGACCGAAAATGAGGTTGGCTGAGTGAAACAATGTGATTGAACCCCCGAACGCAAGGGCTTTCCAGAATTGAGATTTAAAATTCTGTGCCCAAAATTGAGGTCTAAAGGGGTCTAGATGTCGTTATATGGTTAACTAGAAATTTAATGTTCTCAACCGGCACGTGCGCCCCTTTAGCTGCTACCGTGTGCTGTAGGAGGGCAGTTGGTGGTTTAGAAACCTCCGTCCAAGGACAGCACTGTGACATCTTGAGCAGGGCTTCCCTCCCCCCAGTCTCCGCATGAGCTCTCACCAGCTTCACCTCTGCCCCCAGACTGCAGGCTGATGCCAAGGACGCCATAGCAGCGCTTGGGAGTAGAGAAATCAGGAACATGAAGTTCCGGTCGAGCTGGGTGTTTCTTGCAGCAAAAGGCTTTGAACTTCCTTCAGGAATTCAGAGAGAAAAGGTGAGTGGTTTTTAGATGTCCCTTCCCACACAGGGCTAGTATCATAAGTGCTGTGATTTGAAAGGTCGCCAGTTGGTCATAGTTCCCTGTCCCCGAACATAAGATGTTTAGATTGTGACTAAAGTTTACAACTTCTCAAAATCTCTTTGAAAGCATAAAATTCGGAACGGTCTGTTGGTGGCAATGTTGTGTCACACGACAGCTGGCATGGCCTGTCCCACGCCTCTCCTTCCCGGGCAGGAGGCGCCTTCCACACCCTGCTCTGGAGAAGCGTCGGTGCCCACCTCTCCAGCGGACTGAGGGTGAGCTGAGCTGGTGCCTGGAGCCCTGGGAATAGGGCGGGCACCGGTGAACTCTCTAAATGCAGCTGCTGTTGCTGCAGAAACTTGTCACATGTCTGATTGCAAAGCCCTCCCATTACAGCCTTTATTTATCAAAGGGAAGAGAAAGAAAGAATGGGGCTTTAAGCTATGAATTACAGCCGCCTGTGAAATCCCAGCTCAGGGGAGGAGGGGCAGGACAGGATGTCATGGGAACCTAAGCTGACACCTCTGGCAAGGGTCACACCACCCCCTTTCAGGGAGTTCTGCTCCCCTGACTCAGTGCTGAGATGAGTTGGTGCAGAGGAGGAGGAACTTGGGCTGCGTTGCCAAGCAGGGAGGTCCCTGCCATGCCTTCCGAGCACAAGGGCCTCCTTTCCACTTCAGTGGGAGCTCTGAGAAGGCACAGACGTGCGTCTCCAGGGTGAGTCCAGGCTGCATTGGGTCCCACGCTGGGACATTTGGTCCCCACCCCCCAGCACTATCTGGTGTGGAGATGACAAGCAACAGCAGCTGGGCGCTTTCCCGTTGGTGTGGCCCCCCTCGGTGGAGGAGAAGGAAGCTGAATAAAATGCACCTTTGGTGTGGATGACACAACCAGATGACTTGTGACTGCTCCCAAGAGATCCTAGCCCTTCTGTTGTGCCCTTTGTTCTCGCACTTCAGAGGCTCGGAAACCATGGCTGCCTTCACCACATGATGGCATATGCTCTCTCCTTGTGACTGCCATGTTCCCTGACAGCTGGGAAGTCGGCCCTGCAGAACACATAGGCAATGTGTCCCCTCATCACTGGCGATCGTGTCTGCAAACCTCCATGTACAGCTGAGAACTTGTAGGTTTTCCCCAACAAGTGAGATGCTCCCCAAGCTCTGCTTGGTAGCTGTCTGGGCCCCCCACCTCCTGGACCCACAGGGGGGTGAAGTGAGCCAGGCATGCGACTGGGAGACAGGGGCGCAGAGTCCAGGGGACACATGTTTGCCAGGGGACACATGTGGCCTTGAACGAGCCACCTCTCCTCTCTGGGCTGCAGTTTTCGTGCCAGGTAGTTCTCCCGGGTCCAGTGGCTGTGTGGTGACATGTGCCCCTTCACCTGGCTTTCCTCATGCTGACCTGGGGGAGTGAACATGGGACCCCCTTCTCCTGCATCCCTTGGATGGCCCTACTGCAGTGTGGCATCTGTGGACCTCCTGGCTCTATCAGAATTTAGCAGTGTGGTCTTGGGCAAGTTACTTAACCCTCTCTGCCTCAGAATTGATCAGGATTACGGGAGGGGAACACCTGGGGCCCAGCAGCAAGCTGAGTGTGGATCCTGGAACCTTCTGAATCTTCCACTGCTCCTTCTCCATCCGTCCACCCCAAATGCAGATCCCTCTGCACAGCTTCAGCAAACATTGTCATTCCCAACCTGAGTCTCCTTAAAAAACTGATGTCCAGGCCATGTGCAGGCTCAATGAAACTGAATCTCAGAGGGTGAGCCTGGCCTGGTGATTCTGATACACAGGGAAGGTTCAGCCCATTGCACTGATTTTCATGAGCAAATGGAGGCCCTGGTTCCACGTGCACGTCCACACTTCCCCCTAACATCTTCTAATTCGTCTGCTCTTTCCCCAGCTGCCTTGTCCCATTCCCTCCCTCACCCTCCTTCCCTCCTCCACAGTCTCCCTCAGCATCTCTAGGTGCCTGGTCCTGCCCCCACACCAGCCGCCCCAGGCTACTGAACCGAAGGGAGAGGCAGTAAGCCGGAGCCTTGCCGCATGCACTAGCACCAGTTGCTGGTGCTGTTACCAGCACTGTTACTCCCATCCAATTTATGAATGTGTCCAGACTGTATCAGAAAAGCTGAGAAGTGAGTCTCTCCTCCTTTAACTAGAATGTAAACATCTCAACCAACAGGTTCTCTATTTATATTGAGCTAAGACATATAGAGCAAAACCTTGTTTGAGCTGTAGTGGCATGATCCTTGCTTTCTGATTTTCTTCACAAGAATCAAAGTTTCTGGAAGAATCAAGGAAAAGAGGGGTCACAAAGCACTTCACTGAGTCTAGACAATGGATGTGTTTTGAAACGGTGGCTCTAGGTGGGTCTCGGGAAATGTCCCTCCTGCCTACATGTGTCAGTTGAGTATCACTGTCCAAGTTACCACAGAAGCATAAAGGCTGGACCTGGACGCAGCAAGCACTTCATGCAAGAGTGATCAGAGCTGCCATGGTACGGGGTCACTAAAGGGTGTTTGCTCAAATGTTGGAGAGGCCTGAACTGGTAGCCAGAGCCTCAGGACTGAGAGCTGCAGTCAAGAGTCGTTGAAGGGATCATTCATCCTCCTCGTTTTCAATGTTCAGTCCTGTTTGCCGTTGACGTCCCTGAGCATGGTGTGCCTGTGTTGGGAGGGCCTCCTGAGTCCTTGGTGGTCCCCAGCCACCTCGTCACACCCGTTCCACCTGCTATGCCAGGAGTTAGCTTCCTAGGCATGGCTTATGGGTCATTCCCATGCTCAGAGTTTTTAATGACCCTACCACCTACTGAATTGGATTTTAAAATATAAGAAACTTTAAAGATGATTCTGTCCAACCCTCTGGTTTTATAAGAGGAGAAGAATCTGAGACCCACACACTGAGAAATACATGAGGATAGAAGTGTTTGAAGTGTGGGTAACCTGGGTTTAGATCTAGCTCAGTCATCCTGGCCATGTGACCTGAGGACCAGTATAGCGTATGCCCATGCGTCTTTTCTTTACCCTGAGCTGTGGGTGGTCACATCTGCCCTAGTCGGCATGTGTGTGACAGGCACCCACACAGCAGGAGGTGTCGTCATTGTTGTCATCCTGGTGATGCAGCCCAGCTAAGACCCTCACAGTCTTTCGTGCTGTGGATGCAGTGCTCCAGCAAAACCACCTCAGTCTTTGCTGGTCTCCACACACTACAGAGCTTGTCCATGCTCCATCCAAAGTGTGCTTTTTCCAAAGTCTCCTTAACCACCCAGCTCCAGGCAGTTCCTTTTGAGAAGCCTCTCCACCCCCCTCCCCTGCCTGTACCCGCCAGCAGCTCTGCACACCTCCCTTGGTGGGCCTGGGTGCTTGCTTTACATTAGTGTTACTTGTCTTTTCATGCCTGAATTGTAATCTCTTGAAGGCAGGGACCACCTTTTCTCCAATATTGTGATCCCCAAAGTCTCAACAATGAATAAATTAATCAGAAATGTGGATCTAAGAAGGAATGTATAACCAAGTAAGATTTATCCCAGGAATACAAAGTTGGTTTAACATTCAAAAATCAATCAATGTAACATACAGCACTAGTGGAATAAGAAACAAAAACTACATGACAGTCTTAACAGACACAGAAAAAAATTTTGACAAAACTCAACACTCTTTTGTGATAAAAGCATTCAACAAGCTAAGAATCAAAGGGAACTTTCTTAACCTATTAAACAGTATCTACAAAAACCCACAGCTAACATCATACTTAATGGTGAAAACAGAAGGGTTTCCTGTAAGATCAGGAATGAGGCAAGGGTGTTTATCCTTACCACTTTTTTCAACATTGCGGTAGAGGTCAAGCCAGGGCAATTAGGCAAAGAAAAGAATGTGAAAGCTATTTACATTAGAAAGAAGGAAGTAAATCTATCTCTATGTGCAAATGACATAATTGTTTGTATAGAAAATCCAGGAATCCACTAAAAAACTGTTTGAACTAAAAAGCAAATTTGGTGATGTTGCAAAATACAAGATCAATGTACAAAATGAATTGTACTTCTCTTTACTCACATGAACAATCTGAAAATGAAATATAGAAAACAATTTCATGTTTAATAGCATCAAAAAGAATAAAATACCTAGGAATAAATTTAACCTAGTGTTACACTTCCCTCTGTGTAACCTAGATGAAAAAAGAAGGAATCACTCAAAACACCATGAATGAGGCCTGGAGGGACTGCAGCCCATCAGGGGAGCAGCAGCCCTGATTCAAAATCAGCCTTTCTTTTTATTGACAAGACAAGGAAGTTTCACAAGAAGAATCAGTTGATTCAACCATCAAAGAAGGACATAAAAACAGGCAGTGTTACAGTGTCCCTTCCCACGGGAATTTTAGGGACCGTCAGTGGAACCTGGAGGGAGGAGTGGGTGGAACAAGAGACGCGAAGAAAGGAGGCAAGACAGGAGTCTGATCAAGCCTCGTTTATTAAGCAGGGTAAAAGGGTTTTTATACTGTCACATTTACAGAAAAAAGGTGGGGGTTATGGAAAGTACATTTGGCATATCGGAAAAAACCTTATGTTCTACTTTTGACAGCTTCAGCAAACTTTGCAGTACAGATAGCTCATTGCGGTTAAGCATTTTGATCTATATCAGCAGCTACAACTAGGGCGGAATGTTCTCAAGAAATATGTGTTGTTCTCAGATACAGAGTTTTGGCCGGATGCCTTCTTGTGCTTAGTCAACCCATGCTTCCTGCTTGGCAGGTGGCTTAAGGGCCTGGGGGCCCTGAGGGGCTAAGCCTCCTCTGGGGACTAAAGAGGGAACGCATTGTCCCCCACATTACAGAAGTAAATTATGGTTAAGTATAGCTTTAAACAACTGAAATAGTAACAGCAGTAAAATTAACAATTGAAATTCCACAATGCAATTTGTAAAAAGCTAAGTCAATCCACCAGACAGCTTGTCCTTAGCAAACATTTTCTTTTCCACATACTCCCCTACAGTGATTTCCTTAGCATATTCAAACAGCATTCAAGCAGTTTCCTTAGCATATCTTAAGAACAATCAGTAGGTTAGTCAATAGTCCTTCCAGTGGGAATCAAACCAGCAACCTAAAATAGTCAAAGTACACAATACCATCCCTAAACAGTGATTAGAATTGATTAGATGACTTTTGCCAAACTTATCCGTGGACTATTGTCCCCTACTCGAGGGCTATAGCCCTATGCATGCATTTACCTAAAAATCCAATTCTAAGATCAAAGGAGAATCAAGATTTCTAACCCCTTAACAACCTAGGAGATGCAAGACTTATACACTGAAAATAATAAAACATTGTTGAAAGAAATTAAGAGGACCTAAAAAAAGGGGCAAGATATTCAATGTTCATGGATCAGAAGATTTAATAATGTCAATACTCTTTAAATCAATCTACAGATTTAATGAATTCCTATTAGAATACCAGCTGACTTTTAAAAATAGAAATTAACAAGTTCAACCTAAAATTCATATGGAAATTCAAGGGACTCAGATAGGAAAAACAGTCTTGGAAAAGAAGAACAGAGTTGCAGGACTCACATATCTCAATTTCAAAACTTACTACAAAGTTACAGTAATTAAGACAGTGTGGTACTGACATAAGAATAGACATATAGATTAATGAAATAGAATTGAGAGTCCAGAAAAATGTGAGGGTCCTCACATTTTTTGGTCAATTTATTTTTGACAAGACTACCAAGACCATTTAATGGTGAGTGAATAGTCTCTTCAACAAAGGTGTTGGGTAAAATGGATTTCCACATGGAAGACAATGGATTTGGGCCACTACTTCACACCATATACAAAAATTAGCTCAAAATGGATCAAATACCTAAATGTAAGAGCCAGAAATATTAAACTCTTGGAGGAAAACATGGGCGTAAATCTTCGTGACCTTGAATTAAGCAGTGGTTTCTTAGATATGACACCACTAACAACAACAGAAAAATAAATTACACTGCATCAAAATTAAAAACCTTCATGCTTCAAAGGACATCATAAAGAAAGAGGAAAGATAACCCACAGAATGGGAGAAAATATTTTCCAATAAAGGGTTTTTATACAGAATATATAAAGAACTCTTACAATTCAATGAAAAATAAATTTTTAAGTGGGCGAAGGATCTGAGTAGATGTTTCTTTAAAGAAGATATACAGATTGCCAATAAAGCACATGAAAAGATCCCCAGCATCATCAGTTATCAGGAAAATGCAAATCAAAACTACAGTGAGATACCACCTTCTGCTCATTGGGATGGCTTTTAAAAGACAGATACAAAGTGTTGAGAATTTGAAGAAATTGGAACCCTCACTCACTGCTGGAGGAAATGTAAAATGTCACAGCTGCTTTGGGAAGCATTCTGGCTATTTCTCAAAAAGTTAAACATACAGTTACCATGTGACCCAGCAATTCCACTTGTAGGTATATACCCAAGAGAATGAAAATATACGAGGGTACTTTAAAAAATGCATGGAAAGATTCATACTATTTTTTAATTCTGTTTTTACATGAACTTTTTGTAGTATCCTCCTATGTTCATACTAAAACTTGTGCACAAATGTGCATAGCAGCATTATTCCTAATACCCAAAAAGCAGAATCAACCCAAGTGTCTGATTCATGGATAAAAAATACATAAATAAAATATGGTATAGCCAGGCAATGGAATACTATTCAGCCACATAAAGAAATGAAATTCTGACACATGCTACAACATGGATGAACCTTGAAAACATTGTGCTAAGTGAAGAAAAACACACACACACACACACAAAAACTTACATATTGTGTGATTCCATTTACACCAACTTTTCAGAATAAGCAAATCCATAGACACAGAAGGTAGTTAGTGGCTGCTTAGGGTGGGGGATGGAGAGTGATTGGTCATGAGTTTCTTGTTCAGGTGATGAAAATGTTTTGAAATTGACTGTGATGATAGTTGTACATCTCTGTACTAAAAACCATTGAATTATATACTTTAAATGTATGAATTTTATAGTGTGTGAATTATATCTCAATATAGCTGTTATGTAAAACAGGGATATATACCTAGAATTCCAAAGTTAGAATGCACATTATTTTATTTAAGCATTGGGCTGAGGTGCTGCATTATCTGTGAAAGAGTTGAGGATGTAGGGGACTACAGCTCACTCTGGTATGAACACACATTTGCTGAGCAAGGAACTCTACAAGTACTCTGAAAATACAAGTGTAGTCCTACTCCCAGAGCTGTAAACTAAACATTAGAGCTATGCTGTCCAATATGCTGGCTACTAGCCAAATTTGCATTTACATTTAAATTTATTAAAATTTAATTTAATTTAAAATTCAGTCCATCTTTTGCACTGGCCACATTTCATGTACTCAGTGGCCAAATGTGGCTAGAGGCTGTTCTACTGGGCACCACAGGTTATAGAATATTTCCATCGTTGCGGACAGTTCTAGAGCTGCATTAACACTTGGTTCAAACGTTAAGAAACAAGTCGAGAGAAGATCAAACACCCAGCTGAAGTTGGAGCAAATCCCATTCTAGGAGGTGACTCTGTTTACATGACTTTTTTCACAGCTGACATAGATTAAATATTCGTTGATTAGCTTACTGAATAAATAAAGCTCTTCTCTTTCCTTCACACAGATCAACCACTCTGATAATACGAAGAACAGGTATTCTGGCTGGCCTGCAGAAATACAGATAGAAGGCTGCATACCAAAAGAATCAAGCTGACCGTGTATGGTGCTTAATAAATGTGTTTTGTATAGACGAATGCAGCTGGAATGGCCCGAGAACCTTATCCTTTTAAATCCAACAGTCAATATTTGATAAGTATTTGGGGTTTGTTGTAAACCAACAAACTTTGCTGGTTGTGTAAGACATTGGCACACAGTACTTTTATACCCGGATTTATATAGTGAAGATGTGGATGAGCAGAAAAACCTAAGCGAATGGGAATCGTTAAAGGAGATGAAGTGCTCTAACCTGGTGAGGAGAGGGTGGGGGGTGCAGGTGCTGCTTGTCCTGGTGTGGGGCTGTGTTATGATCAGATCTAAGTTTGACCCCTGTGCAGTCTAGACAGCTCTGCAGAGGGAAAACCTTGATGCCACTGTCACCATGCACACCCTGATTTTGGACAGTTGTCTCCTAGGGGAACAAGCAGCAGTCTAGCCAACTTCCTGGATCCGTTCAAGTGCAGACCTATAGTTCTTCCTGTGGGTGTGAGAATTTGTTCATTCACCCCACACATCTGGGCGCCTCCTGCTTCTGGCTCCAGGAGCACAGCAGTGGACAAGACCCAGACCTGCCTCCCTGCTGGAATGTTAGAAGGGGTGCTGCGGTGAGCAGGGTCGCTTTCCCATGGGCAGCAGTACGTCTGCAACTCTGGAAGACACATCATCCCAGGATACGCCATGCACAGTGACACGACCCGTGGGATGATGCGTGTGATTCGGCGTTAAGAAAATAAAGTCTCTGGGGCAACAAGTAGCTCCAACTGTCCATTCTAACCTACCTCCTGGGCCTGGCCCCCAGAAAAGCTGTGAGATGTTCATACCAGGTTGAGATCGCTTCTCTGAGTGGCACATGGCACCCTGAATTTCAGCATCTTTGCAGTAACAAAGAGCCCCAAATCTCCATGGCTCACAACAGCATTGATTTCTCGTTTTTGCCACATGTAGGCCACCGGTCACCCATGGCTCAGCCCCGGGTAAGGGGAGCCAGACTGAGGGAGTATCCCCTGTCAGGCATGGAAGCCAGAGAAAGAGCAGAAATCCAACTCCCTCCCCCAAGCTCCTTCCAGAAAGGGTCAGCTCCACCTGCTCATGCCCCATAAACCAGGTTCCAGGTCATCCCAGCTTGGGGGACATCAATTCCTCCCTCAGAGGCACAGCAAACCTTGTGGCAGAGGGTGGAGTGACAGTCATCTTCCAGGGAACAGTGTGAATATTTGTAAGTGAAAATACAATGTCCCAAGGACTGCTGAGAGCCTAGCATGTTCTGGCCCAGCGAGGGACATTGGCCCCATTGACCCCTCTCCTGGCAGAGGCCCCTCAGGGAGCCCGAGTCTCCACAGAGGAGTCTGCAAAGCACTGAATGGGATCCTGGTATGGGCTGAATTGTGTCCCCCAAAATTCATTTGTTGAAGTCCTGACTTCTTGTATCTCAGAATGTGATCTTATTTGGAGATAGGGTAGTTGCAGATGTAGTTAGTTAAGACTAAGTCATACTGCAGTAAGGTGGACCCTAATCCAACATGACTGGTGTCATTATAAAAAGGGGAAATTTGGACACAGACACACACAGAACGCCATGTGAAGATGAAGGCAGAAATTGGGGTGATTCTTCTACAGGCCGAGGAACACCGAAGACTGTCAGCAACCACAAGAAGCTGGAGAGGGACCTGGAACATTATTCCCTAGAGACTTCAGAGGGAGCACAGCCCTGCTGACACTCCGGTTTTGGACTTCTGGCCTCCAGAGTTGTGAGAAAATAAATTTCTGTAGTGTAAGCCACTCAGTTTGTGGCCCTTTGTTATGGCAGCCACAGGAAGCTACAAGCCCCTTTAGGTTCTAAGCTCTTAGGGACACATAGATATTTTTGTGTAAAAAAAAAAGAGTTGGGGAGCACACTTTAACTCTGATTGAAATCACTGTATTTTCATGGCATCATTGATCTTAATTCACTGTAGTGGACAGGCCTCAGGGATGCTCCTGGCCAGGCACAGTCCAGGAATCTGGCTTTGGGATGCGAAGTCCTTGTGTCGGCCCCTCCCACCCAGTGACCGCCCAGCCCCTCTGCCCTCTGCTGTCCCTGTGGCTCTCACGCTGCGTCTGCCCCTCGGCCACAGAACTGCGAGTTGTCATTCACCCTGCGTTGTCTTTCGTGTGGAAGTTGTCACCTCATCCCTGAAATCACGGGGCCTGCCAGCCCCCAGGCCAGCCCCCCTCGATGGACATTGTGCATGAGGGCTGGCAGTGCCACGGAGCATGCTTGACAGAGACCCTGTTGGTCACCCTCACGCCCCACCCCAGCCCCCGACAGAGAGGCCGGGAGCAAAACACCTGGTCACACAGGGCAGAGAAAGTGGGCTTCTTCCTGGGCTCTGCTGGGACCAATATGCGGGTAATTCACAAAGTTTTCGGAAAAATACAATTGAAAGATCATACGTATCTTTCCACAAACTCTGTGAAGTACCCTCGTACACCCCGGTTGAGAACTTTGCCTGTCCCCAGTACTTTGCAGTTTCCTCTGTCTCATTAATCTGAGGAGATGTTCACGTGATCTCTGTTTCTGCAATTAAGAAAGCAAACTCAGAGCAAGAGCTCTGTGGGAGGGTGGTGCTCACTGGCTCCCCAGGGCTCCCCAGGACTCCCCAGGGCTCCAGAGGGCTGGGGGATTTATCAGCTCATAAAGGAGGGTCAGTAGGACAGGGCGGCGGGTGGGGTCCGTGTTTCTGGATCTTGTTTGGCCTTCCTTGGAGCTGAGTGAGGATCTCCTGCCCAGAAGCTGTTGTGACACAGAGGCTGGGAGTCACTGTGGCTCCTCCCTCTCCAAGAACCAGCTCCTGTACTCGTTCTGTTTAAGGTATGCCATCCGCTATGGGGCTTAGTGCCCAGCCCAGCCTGAGGGCAAGGACCCTGTCTTTGAACACAGGTGCCCCTGGTCCCTGCTGGGAATGCTGGTGAGGGCGGGGGATGGAGGGCCTCTGAGCCAACCTGAGCTGCTAGAGAGGGTCCCTCTGTCCAGCTCCTCTGGAGCCTTTCTTGAAGCAGCAGACGCACCCCAGGCCTGTTATGAAAGACATTCCTGTGGAACAAGACATGGCGTGGCGCTGCCGAGTCTGGCACCCCAAGTTCTCCCCTCACCCAGCCTCTGCACCCCTGCTGCCCACGCCATGGTTCAAGGACGTGAGCTTAGCTCATCCCCTGGTAATTTCTGATGCCAGCTTTTGAAAAACATTTTTAAGTCTCTAAATTCTTTCTTTACAGTTAACCTGCCTTCAAAGTTAGTAAGTAAAACGAATTAGCAAAGAGGTGCTCGGGAGTTTTAAGTTTGCGATGATGTTAGTTTTTGTTTTGCAGACGACAGTGGAGTGGGGAGAGGAGCTAGGAGCCGGCTTCCTCCCCCAGCCGCCCCCACCCTTGGGTGCTCGCTCCCTCCACCCAGAGTCCTGAGGGCTCCTGTGGTTTCCAGAACTCTAGGCCCTGGTGAGGGTGATGCCTGGCTCTCCTCGACTTTGGTCACAGAGGTGGGGCCTTAGGGACCCCTGGGCTGCGCATTTTCATTTTTGCAGGTGAGGCAGCCGAAGACCAGAAGTTCAGAGCCTGGCGTTTGCCTGGCCCATGGAGTGAGTCATCTCCAACGGGAAGAAAACGATCTTGGTCATTAGACATTCCAGGATCTCTGCTTCCAGGAAGCTGTTTACATCCTTTCTTTGGGGGCTCAGCACCAAAGAAGGGGAGAGCCAACATTTTGTCTAGTGTGGCTCAGGTATGAATCCAAGCGATGACTCTGAACTTTCAGATCGCATCCCTGAGAACGCACCCCCAGCTGCCCATGTCAGTGCTGCGTCTATCTGCACGGTCCATGTGGGAGCCACATGGTGCTACTTAAATGAACTCTGCACGGAACCCAGAACCCAGTTCTTCAGTGGCAGTAGCCACATTCCAGGTGCTCAGGAGCCCATGCACCCTGTTGGACATCATGACAGAGCACTCCCATCTTGGCAGAAAGTGCCCTGGGACAGCACTGCCTGGAGTCACTGGCTCTCCACGGTTGCCCACGTCAGCCTCATCTGGAAACTTGTCAGCAATGTCCCAGACTCCAGGGTGGGCCCAGACCCCTGTTTCCACAGCCCCCAACCCCCACCCTGGGGAGTCTGATGCAGCTGGAGTTTAAGGATTCTTGTCTGAGTCATCTGGGAGCATTTTGATCATTCAGTTTCATTTCCGTGGCTGGACAGTTTAGTTTCATTTCTCACTTTTATTGACGGGGGCAGGGGGTGGGGGAGTGGTTCATATGCCACATAAAAGTGAAATGGTAGAAGGGAAGAGGGGATTTGCCTGGTCTCCATCCTGAACCTGCCCAGGTAAGTGCAGGGCCGGTGGGGGAGGGCTGCTTAACATCGGAAGTACAGATGTGCCTTTCAAAAATATGTCCTGAGTGACAGGACATTTGCCTAGTAAGCGAGAAGGCAGGGGCCATAAAGATAAGCTTCTGACACTGCTCAGGGTGAGATGTAGAGCCAGCCCTGTGCACAGAGGGTGAATTCCAGAGGGGCAGTGGCTGGCCCCAAGGAAGGACAGGGGGCCCAACTCGAGTCTGACTAAAGGTGCGGTGGGGAGCTGCCTGCCCCAGAGCCTGGTCTCTGAGGGGCTTCAAATGTCCTCTCACTTGTGGTGTTTGTAGCCTCAGTGATGTGCTGGAAAACTGGCTCTCGTGCAAAGGGAAAGGTTGGGGCGGCGGGGGGGGGTCCTGATTTTTGGCCTTTGCCGGTTCTGGTGATATAAATACTCCCCCCGTGGCCGATTCTCTGCCAACTCCAGCACCCTGGACAACTACGCTCTCAGGACAGAAGTCCATTTTATAACTGCTACTGGGCAGAAAGGAGCCATCCTTGTACTCATGACACATTTTTAAAACTCATCACAACTAGAATGTCGTCCACAGCATTTTAAAACGGGGAAGGTTTCAAGCCGTCCTTTCTCACTCCCCGTCTCCTTTGCCCTGCTCTCCTGTCTTCCTCGCGAGCACTTAGGAGCTCCTAACTTAGGAA